CGGCGGGCGGAGCACAGCCCGTGCTCAGCTCTGCAGTGCCACCGTATGGCACAGGCTTATTTTCAATAAAGACACACTAAATTACACATTTTAGGGTTTTACTCTGCCCAGAGAGCGTCCTGGCAGCAACGTGGGCACGGTATTCTCAATTTCTGTACTACGGAAAAGCCAGGGCATGGTGAAGACCCCCCGAGAAAAGGGGAGAATTAAAACGTGTTGTTTCATACTGCCTTGAACACTTGTTTTTCTGTGAATTGGCTAAAAAAAAAGAGTAACTCTCACTGTGGTTGCTCATCCCTCTGATTTTCTGGTGAAGCCAGTGTTCCAGGCCCATCTACTAATTTCTTCCTTCTGTCCAATGCTAAGAGCAGCCCCCAGCACACACCTGACCTCCAGCTCAACACCCACTGCCAAAGTATATGAACCACTTCAAATAAAGCATTTATTTCAAAAACATGCTGCAAATAAAAAACACTTGCAGAATCTCACATGTTACAACAAACAGGTCTATGTATTTAACAATATATACAAGCAGAACATCCACATGGTAGCTGACCTGGAACATTCCTGGTTCCCGGGGAGTTGGTGAAAGATAAAGCAGCTCAATAAAGAGGTATCAAATTCAAAGGTAACACTTTTAAAAGGACAGAGTTTGTTAGAGGGAAGAGTTTTCCTTTCATTAGATAGAAATACACATTATTACAATCTTGCAGCACATATACATAGTTATTTCAGCACAATCCAGACTGAGCAAGGGAATTCAAGTGGTTGTAATTGTCAAAGAACCCAAATCCACAGCTCCCAGAAAACAGAGTATGTGGTCAAGGACACTTAAAACTCCTGGAAAGAAGAACACCATAGAGGCTGTGTATCTGAGTAATATGGGGGGGTTCCAGTTAGACTATAAAACTGCTGCCCACTACCCTGTAGAACTGCCCTCGCCAGCTCACAGAACAGGTTTGAGTCAAATCCCCAGCACAGCTACCAGGTCCCTGCAGCTGAATACAGAAGTTTCCACTACAGCCCCTCAGTTTCAGAGGCTGCACCCACCCTTTGCATCTGCTGAGCCTGTTTTGACCTGCCAGAAGTTCCAATTGCCCAGGTCTAGGTTTTTCCTTCATGTGAAACCCCTAAAATCTGGCCTATAGAGACACATTACATCCCATACACCAGCAGGAAGGTTTGGTTTAACCCAGTTTGTTGATTTATAAGATGCTTTAACTCTCAACTTAAGATATTAAATAGGACAAAAGCGAGGTCAAGAAAACATGAAGGAGTTGACTCTACAAGTTCAAGTAAGGAGCTCATATTTTCTTTAGTGCTATGCTTCTGTGGTCTCCTACCACAAGGAGTAAAAAAAAAAAAAAAAAAAAAAAAGCAATCACTTTCCTGAAGTCCTTCACTAAGTTTAGGCTGCAAGGCAATAAAAATTAGGAATCAAATGGTTTCAAAGTTTGCTGTTGAAGCAAAAAAAAAAGATGACACCTTATGGATCTATTACACTGTGGGCATGAAACACAGGCTTTATATACACATGCACTTTGACTACTGACACATCCAAATAAACCTTCTGGAATATAAAAGTTTGCTCTGACAATTATTCAACCCTGTACCTTACTTGCTTCTTATCGAGTGCAAAAATAAAATGTAAAAAAATAACCAACACACCAGCTCACTTTAGAAAACACAGCACTGATTTGGGAAAGGGGATTTGCACTTTCATCTCTTTCTCATGTGTTCAAGCAGCCCCATAAGACAAATGGTTGTAGAAATCTCCAACTTGCTTGGCAGGGCAGCTCAGCTGGGGATGAGCACAGGCTTCAGTTTACTCACCTACACCTTCTGCTTAAATTCACCTTCCATTCCCAGGGAATACTGCAATTTCCCATCTGCTCAGGGAGCAGAGCAGCACAGAGCCCTCAGGAACTTGGGAGAGAAAGGAAGGAGGGGTGGCGCTGCCCTAAAATAGGATAAGACAAAGACCAGACATTTTGATTGCAAAGTTCATCCACTTGAGTTTTCTGAAGACCACTGAGACACTGGAGTTATACCAGCTAAGGAAATCTAGTGGCATCTGAAAGCCATCACAAGAGATACAGCAGGAAATTAAATCAAAGTAGAGCTAAACAGGACAAGAATAAGGAGAGAAAGCCAAGTGAAAATAAGTCGGTTTAAAGTAATGCAATTTCAGTGGATTTTCCTAAGGCTTCTTTAGAAAGTTAGGATGAGAGATCTGTATCCTGCTAAAACAATATTATCAGCTCCAAAGAAGTTACTTACTCAGGTTCAGCATCCCAGGGTTCCCAGGAATATTTAATGATTCCATAATTGTTCTTCACAGTTTGCAATAAATCCAGAATGGGATGCCCCACCTGGGCATAGTGGAATGGCTGGAACACCACTGGGAATCTTTCCTGGAATAGCTGTAGATACAATTTCTTATCAGCATTGTTTTTGTTGGCAATGATGGAAAAAAGGAGGAAATAAATCACTGTCAGGCTGTTTTTGGGTTTGTTTTTAATTTAAATTCTATATTGTGCTGCTTTTATAGGGCTAGGTCTGCACAATGGCTGTCTCTTTAAAAAAATTCTAATAAATCAAATAATAAGAGTGTAGAGCTTTATGCCAAAATACGTAAGGGGCTCATTTTAATCTTGTTTATGAGCACAGGAAAAAATAGAGCCATGAGAAGCCATCCAGTGGAGGAGTGAATGGAAAATGCCTCTTCCTAGGGCAGTTGGTTGCATGTTTACTGTTCCTTAAAATAGCCACACATCATTTTTTAACAAGTGTCTGTAGCACTTGAAGCAAGAGATTTATTGAGCTGCAGGATGGGGATGGATAGAATTGGATAATCAGCTACAGATGGACCCTGACCAAATAAATAAATGGCTTAATAAATGGAAAAATAAAGAAGTGGCTTGAGACGATGTGGATCATAACTAATTCCCTCAAGGAACTTGGAAAACTTCAATGCAGAAGAGCTCTCTGCTGCACCAGCACACCCAGTGAGCTGGACAGCAGGGGGCATAGACAAAGTGGCCAAAAGGGAGTTGCTTAAGCCGCTCCTAAATAAAACCCCTACTTTTATTAGCAATCAGTAGGGCCCATACAGCATAAAACCATGAAATAATGTCACAGGGCGATATTAAACATATTTCAGTGTGGCAGAGGCTGCTAGAAAAGGCTCAGAAATTATTGCTGCTCTCCAAAGAGCTTTAATCATGATCCGATTTTGTGCCTTGTTTGGGGGTTTTTGTTTGAATTTTCAACAGTGGAATTAAAAAAAAAAGGCAAAACCAAAGAAAACCCCACAACCCAACAAAAATAAACAAAAACAAAAACAAAAAAACCCAAAAAACCAGAGAAAATTTAATGAAGATGGGAAATTAAGTGCAAATCTTTCTTAATAGATGAACCATAGTTTTGGTTGCTTTCATGATGTTAAACATTAATTTTGCTTGCTGCCTAATATCTTGAATGAAATCCAAGCTCTGTTATCCTTTCCCTATGACAGTGATATGGCCACAGTTTGTTAGTCCATGACAGAGATGAAATATTCCCTTACCATCTTGGTGAGTATGAGAATAGCAATTGTAATAATTACGCAAAAAACATTCCAAATAATTGTCTGTTTGTCAGCAGCAAAGTGAATGTGAATTCAAGAGACTATGGGGAACATTTCTGCTTTGCCAGCTAATACATTCTTGTACCAAAAAAACTGTACCAATAAGTAGTAAAGCTGGATAAAGTTAACAGTCCTTTTGCCCAGGCCAAATCCCAAGTTCTGATCATTTTACTTCTCTATTTTGTGTCTTGCCAAAAAGATAAGAAACATGTTGGCACAAAAGAAAAATTATTGCTTGGACTATTCTCCCAGTCTTGAATCTGTTTCCAATAAAAGCAGCTTGGGCAGAAAACTCCAGTTAAGTAAACAAACAACATCAAAATAGCTTTAGAAATAAAATAGTAGTAAATTATTCCGATTTTTAATAACTATTTGCTAAATTTAAATTGTTAAATCCAGATTGCAGATGAGTTTAAGGTGATGCGTGACAGATACATGTGGGATTCAATTAATGTAAACTATCTCATTGTTGGTGTGATCAGACCTCCACAATCACATTATTGTTCGTTCACCTCATCGACATAACTAACACTAATTACTGATCTATTTTGCATTACACTGAGGAATAATTAATAAAGTAAGAAAACCACTGTCCCCTGAGTGACATTCTGATGCACTCTGAGCATGTAAGAGCACATGAAGTTTGTGATAAGCAATATCTGTGTTCTATTCTTCTTGCACAGTGCAGGTTATTTTGGTGTTCCTGGTTTAAAAGTATGTTTTGGTTGGTTTTTGGTGGTTTATGGCTGTTTGTTTGTTTGGGGGTTTGGGGGTTTTGTTGTTTTGTGGTTTTTTGTGGGTTTTTTTTGTTTTGGTTTTTTTTTTTTTGTCGTTGTTGGTTGGGGTTTTTTGGTGGTATTTTTTCTTCGTTTTTTGGGTTCTGTTGTTGGGGTTTGGGGTTTTTTTTTTAATTTTGGTGGCTGTGTTACAGAACAAGGTCTGTGGAGTAAATTAATTGCAAAGGCCCGTATTTTTCCCCTCATGAACTGAAGCCGCCCTTCGGGCCTGTCCCCAGGCAGGGTCGGGGCCAGCCCTGCAGGCGCCACCGGCCTCCTGAGGTGCCAGGGCGGGAAGAGGCGGCAGCCCGGTGCCGGTGTTCTCTTCCTCGCTCCGAGCCCCCGTTCGAGCGGGTTTTCCTCAGATTCCAGCCCGAGGTGGCTCCAAGGCCGCCACGGACCTTTTTCTGCCGCCTTTTACCTCAGGATTCGAGAGTGCCGGAGCAGCCGCATTCGCGCGCTCTGCGCTGCCTGACCCTCCTCAGCCGCTGTAGCGCCCGTACGGAACTGAAACCCGCGCGGCGACGCCTCAGCCAATCCGCTCCGCTCTTACTGCGCGACGCCGCTCCCCCGAGCCAATCGCACGGCCGCCCTTTCCTGCCCGGGGCGCTATGGCGGCCGCCACGAGCTGCGGCCGCGCCGCGCTGGGCGCGCTGTCCCGGGATGGCGGCGGGGCCGCGGCGCGGTGGCAGCGAGTCCTGCCCCCGGGCCGCCCCGTCCTGCCGTGGGTGCCCGCCCGCGGCGCCGCGGCGGGGCCCAAGCCCGGGCGGGCCGTGACGGTGGAGGTGGGCGGCAGGTGAGCGGCTCTGAGGGGTGTGGGGGGGCGGCAGGGCAGAGCGCTGTCCCGGCTGGAGAGTAAGGCAAACACCAGGAAAAACTGGTGCAAAGTACGTTGAGGCACGTGTTGAGGTTATTCTCAGTCAGGACGTTCTTTGGTATCGGATCTTGGTGTGCTAGCAAGCCTAATCAACCAAAGGGAGCCCGAAGCAGTGGAATCAGCCTTCTCGCCGCTGAGTCAGGGACATCCGGGCACCGAGGAGCCCTACGGATGTAATAAATCAAGTTGTTGATGGATGTCTATGTGTACATTGCCAACTTAGCAAAATATTCCAGACCACCAAGTTGATCAGAGGGATGGAGACATATCGGGTGAGGAAAGACTCAGGGACTGTTCAGCAGGGAGCAGAAAAGCTTTGGGGTGACCTAATTATGGCCTTCCAGGACCTGAAGGGAGTTGCCTAGAAAGATGAAGAGACTATTTGTGAGCGTATGCAGTGACAGGACAGGGGAGAACAGGTTAAAATTGAAAGGTAGTAAGTTTAGATGAGACATTAAGGAAAAAAATCTTCCCTGTAAGGTCCTGGTACAGGTTGCCCGGAGAAGCTGTGGCTGCCCCATCCCTGGATGTGTTTAAAGCCAGGTTGGATGGGGCTTGGAACAACCTGGGATGGTGATGGGGTGGAACTCGGTGATCTTCAGGGTCCCTTCCCACCCAAAGTATTCTGTGATTCTGTAGCTGAACTGTGTTCATTATAACAGTGAAAATCACACCTACAGGTAATAAGGGCCTTGCCCAGGTGTTCCCCTGAGCATGTGAACAAGTTACCTGGGATAACTTGTATAGAAACTACTAACTAATCATAATAACGGGGCTGTGCTTGGGAAGGGACCAGCTCTGGATTTCTGTGTATAAATAAAGGCATGGAAAGTCAGGAGGGTGTGCTGGGCTTGTGCAATAGCACCCAGCACAACCCTGGAATAAATAATCCATATCTCACTCTCGAGTGTGTCCTCATTGCCTTGTTGCCGTCCATTCTCTGCCACAAAGGAAGGAGTATTCTGCAGCTGTGGTGGGATGTGTGCAAGCAGCTCCCCTTGCCCTTGAGGGTGTTTTCCAGTGGCTAAACCCCAGCTGGAACAGGTGATGATTCACCTTTGTCATAGGGATAGCTGATGTGCTCCAAGGCTTTGCTTCAAAGTAAAGGAAACAGGACACTTAAGGCTGAAGCAGGACATTTGAGGCAGTTGAAATTTAAGTGGGTTTGTTCATTTTTGCTCAAAGAGTGTCAATTTTTATATCTAAGGAGAATTTTTATATCTCTTGTGAAGCATAGCCTTTATTCTGTGCAGTTGAGGCTACAGGTGAATGCAGAAATTGCTGGGAAATGTACATGGATTCACTAGAAGCTCATGTAACAGGTTGTTTCTTTCCTTTAGAAAGATGGAGCTGTCTTCTGGAAAACTTGCAAAGTTTGCTGATGGATCTGCTGTTGTTCAGGTAAAAACAAAAAAAAGTCAAAATTTGTCCAGCTTCAAAATTTCTGAAACTTGAAATTCATTGTGTGGGCATCAGAGCCTGTGGGATATAGAGCCTCAAGTGGCAGTTTCATCCCTAAGGAAGGGACAGCTGTATTTTATAGGAAAAAATTGTTTGAAAAGCAAAGACAGTGGTGTGAACTGTGGATTTATGTGGTGGTTTTCTGCAAGGTATAATTCTTAAGAATTACTGGTTTATGAATTAAGTTTAGAACATTGGAAGTTCTTTTCAGGTAACTTGAGTTTTCACCTGTTTTTCTTAACACAGCTAGGTGACACAGCAGTGATGGTCACAGCAGTCAGCAAAACCAAGCCCTCTCCATCTCAGTTTATGCCATTAGTGGTAAGTACTAATGACAGAATTAGTTTTGTGCTAATCAGTGATCAACTTAGCAGTCATGGTCCTTAAACAGTGGAGTTCAGGATGCTGGGGAGAGTGAGGAATGCAAACAGTAGATGACAGACCCTGGACTTGAGGTATGCAGTTGATGATAAAATCCAGGATCCCTGTGTGGGTGAGGGATGAGCCCTGGCTGTTGCCTGCCTTGCATTTAGTAAGGCTGTCTTCAAAGCCCTTGTGAACTTTGCCATACATCCAAACTCAGATATTGGGGTTTGGTTGTGTGAAAAGCTGGTTGGATTGTGAGGCTCAAAGGGCTGTGATTGTTAAGGGTGGGAATTAGATAATTGGGGTTAGAACTGGATGGTCCCAAGGGTCCCATGTGGCGGTTTCTGTGGCTCTGCAGTAAATAATCAGTTGTCATTAATAATCCCTGAATTTTCTTTGGAAGGTTGACTACCGGCAGAAAGCTGCTGCAGCAGGAAGAATTCCTACAAACTATCTAAGAAGAGAGCTTGGTTCCACTGATAAAGAAATTCTTACAAGCAGAGTAATAGGTAGGCTGAAGCCTTTTATTTCCAGTGTACTTCAAAAATGTTGTAATTTTCTTGTGCATGTTTGAAAATACAGCCATTTATAATGTGTCATAAAACAAACATGTAATTTATTTATCAATGTGATTGAAATGTTAAGGTTATGTGTGTCATACTAAATACATTTTCTATAGTACTGTCTCTTTTTTTTTTTCATTATTGTCAGTTTCTTGTGGGGTCGTTGCAGTACAAACTGAATATTAACTACTGAAACCCAAATTCTTATGACCTTTTTATGAAAAGTTTGATTATTTTCTTTGCAGATCGGTCAATCAGACCACTCTTCCCTGCAGGCTACTTTTATGATACGCAGGTAGGTCATGCTACCTTCAAAACAGAAAACTTGGATATGACCAAGAAAAATTTCATTATACAGGCCCTGTTTGAAGAAAAACTATTTTTGTTGACATCAAGGAGGGGTTTGCACTTCACAAACAAGTGTAATGTTGCTTTTTAGTCTGTCTTGTCTCCTTGTCTTAAATTATTTATTATTACATCCTACTTTCCAAATTTTGTTGTCAATATGCAAGAGCAAAATTAAAATTTCCTCTGTACAACAGAGGAAAGATGCTAACAAGTAAATATTTTATTTGTGATGTGATACAATATTATCCATTAATGGGGCTTTATTTTCAGCTTTCTATTTTAAATACCTGAAAAAAATTTCCATGTGAAACATAGACTTATGTAGATACATGGGGTTTTTTAGTGTCCTTAGCTTTGTATTGACAGTTAATAAAAATGTATAGGTCAAAATTATTCATTGTCTTTTATCTTATGCCAGATCCTTTGTAATCTTTTAGCAGTAGATGGTGTCAATGATCCTGATATTCTGGCAATTAATGGAGGTAAGAAGGCTGTGAGAAATTGGTGCTTTGGTGGGATTTAATGAGTTCAGTTTTTTCCTAATCCAGATATTTATCTTCCTTTCAGCTTCTGCAGCACTTGCCTTGTCTGATATCCCCTGGAATGGTCCTATTGGTAAGTAAACATTTTGAAATTATGTGTGATTTTAATGTAATGGAACACTTAGACCACAAGTTGTACTTTGTTTTTTAAAGCAGAAGCTGAATCTAAACATTAAATTTCAAGTACTGGAAATAATTTTGCAATGGGTAGGATTATTGCACTTCAAGGGATTACTTTTTTCTGTACAAAATGCTCTTCTGAGAGGAAATACAATATAGAAATAATGTACTATAGAAACCAATAAATTAATTTTCTCTTAAGAGAAATATATTTATTGAAAAGCATTATTTGGAAAATAGCTGGTTCAGAATACTTTTCCTCAAAGAAACTCAGAAAGAGATTTATTTCATTGTGAGTATTTTCTGTGAAGAGAAAAGATCTGCCCAAGAACAAATATTGAACAAGTATCTTCCTTTCAGCTGCCTATTTTTTTCTAGAAAACATGTGCTGAAATGACAAATACTCCCAGTACACTCACAGCATTGCGTGTAATACTGGCATTATTTGCCCTACCCAGTAATAGTACTCAAAAGTACCCATTCTTAGAATGGGTAGTTTTGTCTTCTAGATTTGTTCTTAATATCCAGTCAACATGCTGATATTTTAAAATTAGTCTGTAGCTTTAAGTATTGTTATTAGCTGTGTAACTTTCAAAGTAAAGTGATGCCTTAAAGAGCTTCCTTATTATAATAATAAATGACTTTCTGGAGTTTCTTTGCAGGTGCAGTGAGGGTAGGGCTGGTGGATGGAGAGACTGTTATCAATCCAACTCGGAAAGAGATGTCCTCTAGTGCTCTAAATTTAGTTGTTGCTGGAGCTCTACACAGTCAAGTTGGTAAGTAGTTTAATTGTTGTCTGTTGAGGGCTTGGAAATCTTTGCAGATGTTTTCCTTATCTTTGAAATGTGGGGTTTTTTATACAATAGTGGGAGCAAACAACAGTGATAAGTAATTTTTGGTTAAGTAAATTTTCTCATATTTATGCAGTTTAATGTTAGATTGCTATTGAACAATAAAACAGGAATTCACTGAATTTTTATCTTTCCATTGCCAGTTATGTTGGAAGCAACTGCTGAGAACATCTTGCAGCAAGACTTCTGCCATGCCATCAAAGTGGGGGTGAAGCAGACCCAGCAGATCATCCAGGCCATTCAGCAGCTGGTGAAAGAGCAGGGTGTGGTCAAGAGAACTGTCCAGAAATTATTTATTGCTCCTGAAGAGATTGTGGAACTTGCAAAGAAGTAAGTTCAGAACAAATAATGCAGATCTAGGAATGTTTATGAGTCTGCTATTTTCACCAGACTGGTATTTCACCAAATATTTTTCAAATATTTAGTTCTCAAAAAACCTCCTAATTATAAAAGTGCTTTTTAAGCTGTGTTTTCAAAAATTCTTCCTTTTCTCCCTAAAGACTTGCTTCTAACAAGATCTATGCAGTGTTCACAGATTCAAGCCATGATAAAGTAAGTAATCAATTGTGATACAATTATTTTTTTTAATTAAAATCATAATTAAACTGTAGTAGGATAGAATTCTTTAAGCTTTTTAAGCTTTTTTCCTTTTCAAGGAAAGACTGGATGTGCCATGGTCTGGTGGACAAGATGGTGATCATAGGTTGGACTTGATGATGTCAGTGGTCTTTTCTAGCCTCAGTGATACTGTAATTTAACCTTGTCTCCTTCCCTGCATCTATTTGTAATAATAAATTGTTCTCTAAGTTCTTAACCTGACCAGAATATTTGCTTGTATTATGTGGAGGTGGAAACTCCCTTTTCCCAAGGAGTCGCATGAAAAGGATGAGGGGAAAATGGGTGCAGGTTACTCCTGAAAGGTTCTGGTTGGGCACAAGAGCAGTGGTCTCCTTGGGAAAAATTATCAGTCACTGAGATAATCTCCCCAGGGAAGTGGTGGATTGCCCAATGTGGGACATTTTTAGGATGCAGATGGGGAGGGTGCGGGGCCATCTTGTCTAGACTGCTTTTGCCAGGAAGGGTTGGACCACACAACCCTTGAGGTCTCTTCCAGCCTTATTGGTTTTTGAATTTGTGTGATAGTTCTGTTTCTTATTCCTTAAATTTTTGCAGATCTTTAAACCAAACAGCCCCAAACCTCTGTTGTTGTTCTGCCCTGTAGAGTTAACTGGTTGCAAATCCTGTGTTCTAGATTTCGAGAGATGAGGCGATCAACAAAATAAGGCTTGAAACAGAAGAACAGCTGAAAGGTATTATTTTTTGTTAATATTTTGAGAATGCTTCAATGGAGGTAGCACTGCTTGGAGTTAGAGTATGCTCTTTGTTGGAAGCTATTTTAGTAAAAGTTCTATAAAATTAATTTCCCAACTTCAGATGCAATTTCTTTTCTATATCTAGAAAAATTTCCGGAGGCTGAGCCTTACGAAATCATGGAATCTTTCAACGTGGTTTCAAAGGATATTTTTAGAAATCTAGTGCTAAATGAATATAGAAGGTGGGTGTATCAAACTCCTACTGATAAGATTTCTGTCAGTTTTTAATCCAATACTGTAGTTTAACTGATCTCTTAATTTCTCTTTGTCACTTAGGTGTGATGGGAGAGATTTGACTTCCCTCAGAGACATTAAATGTGAAGTGAACATGTTCAGAATGCTTCATGGATCAGCCTTATTTCAAAGAGGTCAAACACAGGTAATGTCACTTCAACATCAGAAATTATCAATGAATTATCAAAAGCTGAAAGATTTGGGCCTTTCATTTAAATGCCAGGTTTTCTTTTTCTTCACATTTAAATAGTAATAAGCAGAAGTAGGTTGGTAAGTACATTGGTGTGTGGGTCACTGCTAAATTTGGCACATCATGAGAAATCTTTTAAAAACAACTTCATATGCAACCTGAACCAAGTAAGGAAATTTTACCCAAAAAAATTGCAATAACGAGGTGATTTTTTTTTCTCTTCTTTGCCAAAAGCGTCAGCTGTTGGGTGGATGGAATTAAGATCGTACTCAACATTTGATCTTCTGTACTTTCATAGCTCCTTTTGCTAGAAGACTGTCAGCTATTGATCTGACTTCTTATTACACTGAGTTAGGATGGCAGTTGCAGACAGTGATTTACTCCTCAGTGTTGTCCCCTCTTATCCCACTAAAAATAACACCCACTGCAAGTCCGTGTGGGAAACAGGCACAAACAACATTGTGGCTGCAGCTGGCCCTGTCTCTTAAGTGTTTCTTAGGGAGCAAACTGCTCTTGGCTCCTACTTAAGGAGCACTAAATTAGTATTTTTAAATGGGATTGCTTGTAAGAATGTATGATCTTTGCAGATTATGAGTAAGTGTGTGTGATGGAGAGAAAAAGGTTCTACAAGTCGTACTGATGGCATCTCATTTGCTGCTGAACTCATTCTTTTTGATTCTTCATAAACAGTAACATTTGTGAAGGCTGGAACGGCTTAAGTGGGGTTTGTTTTTTATTTTAGCTCATTTTCATTTTAGGTTCTGTGTACAGTTACATTTGACTCTTTAGAATCGAGTGTAAAGTCAGATCTTATCTCCACAGCAGTGAGGTATGTATGTCTTGGTGCTCTGGCAGTAGTAACAAGAGGGTGAGCATTTAAGCACGTTTGATAAAATTCCCTTGACCTTCCACGTAGATACTTTTTTAGGACTGAAGAATGTGTAAAATTAGACTTTGCAATGGCCTGTTTTCCAGAGATCATGGCAGTGAGTTTGTGTTAGGGTGACATTAATTCCGGAACACACATTTGAAAGTGGAGAGTGTTCCAAGTAACATCCAGTCTGTTTTAGGTATTTAAAATATTTGTGGAAAATTTTACTTAGGATGTAGCAAGCTGGTCCTTGTGCTTTGAACACTTTATTGCTGAAGTGAAATTCATTGCCTCAAAGCCACACTTCAGTGATGTCACCCCAGTGATTTCATCCCAGTGTGGGAGCTTTTACATTTAACTGTCTCAGCTTTACTGTAGCTAAATCTTTGTTACCCCAGAAGAGCTTGTCCACATTTTCTAATTTTGGTAACTGTGGGTGATCAGCAAATATATTGATTTGTTGGTTTTAGCTGGGTCCATTTGTAAGCATAACAGTATTAGTTTGAATTACCTGTTGTGTGTAAAACATGTTTCGTTGCTCCTGTTTTGATATGGTCTTGTTTTTAATTAATAGTGGAATTAAAGATAAAAACTTCATGCTGCATTATGAGGTGAGACTTTTCCTGTGTTACAGCTTTCTGCATGATTCACAGAAGGGCTTCATGTCTTGCTTTTAAAGGTGCAGTTGATCACTTCCAAGCTTATAAATTAGCTCTAGATTTGCTAAAATGTATTTATGCTAATTCATGCATGAATTTATATCAGCAGAAGTAGTGGTTTCCTGAAAAGCAGTAGGTAATTTGTAAATTGGCATTGTATACAGGCTTTTAAATGCCATAACATTAGGTGAGCTCCTTCAGAACAGGTTCTTACTGAAAACAGGATTAACCTGTGCTATTATTTTTAGTAAACTCTATTGATATGTTCAGCTGATGTGGCACAGCAATAGTAAATAAATGCTTTTACATCTTGCATCTCTCTCAGCCTTTGGAGCTTACCCAAAGTGTTTCCTACAGGCAGATCTTGTTCCATTATTTCTGTGGCAGAAATGACATTTCTGCTAGATTGTTTGACAAGTTTGTTTGGAGGAAGCTTCTTGTGTTCTCTCTTAGCTACCTTACTACTGGTTTATTCTCTTCTGTCCTGTGGAAGAAAAACATTTACTAAACATTACGTAAACTGGTCCTGGTTTGTAAACCGAGTGACTGATAGAAGTCATGTGGTGGTTTGGTTATTTTATTTTTAATGTATATTTATCTTGAGATGCACCAACACTTCAAAGATGGGTTTTTTTTAAGTGTATGTTTTAAAATGGAAAAGAAAAGCAGGTTAATTGTCTGTGTACACATTTTTTCCTTCATAGTTTCCACCTTATGCAACCAATGAAATTGGCAAAGTTACTGGGATGAACAGACGAGAGCTTGGACATGGTAAGTCCAGACTAGAGAAATCCTGTGCTGAAAGTTCCAGTATTTTATCTGATTTTTATTGATGGATCACTTAGTGGTTGTTTTGGGTTTTTTTTAAACAGGTGCACTGGCAGAACGAGCTTTGAAACCAGTTATACCCCAGGATTTCCCATTCACAATCCGAGTTACTTCTGAAGTCTTAGAATCAAATGGTATTAGGATTTTCTTGTTTTTAACCTGGTGCTGGAGACTAAATTTGGTTCTTAAAAAGCTTTGTTGAGACAAACTTGATTTATAGGCATGCTAAATAATAGATTTCAGTTTAAATGTTCTTAGTAACTATTACCTGAAATACTTAAAATAAAAAGCATGTTCGTGAAGAATGGGCCTTTCTTGGTTTAATAAAATGGTATTTGGGGGCATTTTTATGCTACAGGATGAGGAAAACAACCTACCCATTTTTCAGTGTTTAATCCCTAGTTTTTTACTGTATTTCAATTCCAGGGTCTTCCTCAATGGCTTCTGCATGCGGTGGAAGTTTAGCATTAATGGATGCAGGTACAAAATAAGGCACTTACAAGGATAAACTGCATGTGATAATATGCTAGAGGATCTGGAAATTACCGAAGACTTCAAAAATGGGGCTTTTTTTTGCCACTTCTAGGAGTTCCAGTGTCAAATGCAGTGGCAGGTGTAGCCATAGGCCTCGTTACCAAGTGCAGTCAGGGAAAAGGGGATATTGAGGACTATCGCTTGCTGACAGACATCCTGGTGAGTGCTCCTCACATTGTTATTGTTGAAAATATTGTATATTTTCAGCTTACTGCTGAAAAATACCTCTTGTGGCCTTCTGTAACCTTTTGCCCAGTCAATTCTGGAACATCACTCCTGGAAAAATTAGTTGCATCTTTTGTTTTATCTCGCAAATTCCTCCCTCATTTTGAAAAATTTGTATGAAATGTCCAGTCATGTTTCTTATTTTTCATGTTTTTAGTTAGTTAAGCATTCATAAGCTTTCTCATTCCAATTAATTTTGTCTTTCCTCATGGGAGAAAAAGATGAATAATTTACTGAAAGACAGTCCATATTGGGTGGAGAATGAGCACTTGGAAGAGAGTCTGGGGAGGAAAATGCGCAGCCACTGACAGACTAGATCTGCTGTGGATCAGAAACTTGTCCACAAAAGCTCTTGATTTCCAAGGAGAGAAAGGAACAGTGTTAATCCTGAACAGCAAAATAAAGCTGAAGAGAACTTGGAAGTCTCAAAATTTCTCTGTACTTTTGATATAATGGGAGAAAATTACTCCAACTTGGTTTTGTCTGTCTGTGGTGGCAGGGAATTGAAGATTACTATGGAGATATGGATTTCAAGATGGCAGGCACCAATAAAGGGATAACAGCACTGCAGGTATTGTGACATGAAATTTTCTTTAAGTGAAACTCAGGGAGAGTATTAGAAGAGCTTTCCTGACATGCTGATGGCACTTCATTCTTCTCATGTCAGGTTGATCTAAAGCTGCCAGGGATACCAATAAAAATTGTGGTGGAAGCTATTCAGCAAGCTACAGGTAGGTCTGTTCTTGGACTTACACACATTTTATTATATTAAATGATAGGTGGCATTAAGTTGTATGAAACTAAACAATAAACTATTCATTTTTCATTCTGTCATTGTGGAAAAAAAACAAGCCTATCTTTTATGAAATGGGTTTGGTTTAATTAATAAGCTCCAAACGAACTTGAAAGTAACTTCAGCCAGTGCATGATTTGGACTAACACACATTACATGACTTTCTTTAAATTCAGCAGGATAACATTATAAAAATAATAGCAGATTTCCTCTCATTTCACATAAATTCAGCTATGTTTACAAGTGAAACTTGCTGCCATCTGTATTCTTACATGTGCAGCTAAAATATTCTTGGAGCACATGAGAAAATGAAGCTACGTGGTTTAATTAGGATTTAATGAGTTGGAAAACTTTCAGCCGGGCATTCTCCAGCTAAGCAGGAGACAGGTTTTGACAAGGAATGTTTTTCTACTGTATAACAAAAACTTCAGTAATTTTGTACATTATTAAAATAAATATATGTTTTTTTTATTATTATTTCCTCTAGCTGCAAAGAGGGAGATTTTACACATTATGAACCAAACACTGGCAAAACCCAGACCTAACAGAAAAGAAAGTGGACCAGTTGTAGGTAATGCTATTGTGTGAATTCATAGCTTTCATAATTACCTTTTTAACAATAAATTTCTGCTTAAAATACCTTTTTTTTTTTTAATGATTGATTACTATATATATTTGCCTTTGCCCTGTGGGGATAATTTGTGAAGGGGTTTTGGTTATTTTTTGGTTTTTTGATGGGATTTTTATTGCCATATGGGCAGCACTCCTATTTCAGTGTACACCAGGAAACACAACTAGAATTTAAATGAAGTTATGTGAAGCTTTCACAAAATCAGAATTGATGTAGATGAGAGTATCAATCTGGCTTAAGGTAATTTACAGTCAGAGTGTATTCTGTGTCTTCATTTATTTCAGTTCTTACCTGTAAATACATCCCTGTTCAGCAAATACCACAGGTAGCTGTAAGAGATTAAAAGCTAAAGGAAGGTGCCCTTTTGTGTGATAGCTTTCAAGATTATTATATTTAGCACTTCAAAGGATTTTTAAATGTTCTTTCAGAAACTATCCATGTTCCATTATCAAAAAGATTAAGATTCGTTGGTCCTGGGGCTTACAATTTGAAAAAACTTCAAGCACAGACTGGTGAGACATTCTTGATTCCTGTGATAATTTAGCCTCACATGTTCCCTTTGTTTCAGACTTGTATGTTGAACTGTTTCAATGCTCAGTGCAAACTGAAAATGAAAAAATTCTGATATCTGTAGAGCACAGGTTGATGCTCTGCTTTGGACCTGAAACCCTTAATGCTGTGGTGAACTTGATTAATGCTTCTCAGGGGATTGGGGTGGAGAAAAGGAGGAAACATCCTATTTCCCTTTGGTTGTAAGCCTGTCTGGTCTGGCCACAGAACTCTAGAAGGGCAAAGAATTTTACCATTCTGCTCCAAAACACTTTCATTTCCCTCAGCTATTATTGCAAGTATTATTAAAAATCTCTGGGAAATTGACTCATAACCCTCAACATTTTATTCAGGATTTTTTTTTCCTGCCTTTAAAGGATTGTAAAAATAATTTTGTCTTCTTTTATGGCCCTCAAGTTTTTCAAGGTATTTGCAAGGAGGTGGTGGGCATATGCAGTTGTTCAATGCCTAAATTGAACAAGATTAAATAATGTTTAGAAGTCTGAGGTCTTAATGAATGTGCAAAACCATTCTGCTCTGAGCAAGTCTTTACTGGGTGTGACTTTTCTGCAGTGTGCCCCTGACTGCTGTCCTAAATCCCCTTTTTCAGGTGTGACTGTAAGTCAGCTGGATGAAGAGACATATTCCGTGTTTGCCCCCACGCCGGGGGCAATGCACGAAGCCAGGGAATTCATTGGGGAAATCTGCAAAGATGATGTAAGGACAGACTTCTGCCTTTAACTTCTTCAGTTTGCTCTTTGTGACTTCATGTCTTACTGGTTTTCTCTTTTTTTTTTTTTTTTTTCTTCTACAGCAAGAAGTTAATTTGGAATTTGGGGCAATTTATACAGCCACAATTACTGAAATAAGGTATAAAAACTGCTTTGGAGTTGAAATTTAACTTATTTATATAGCTATATTCCTGATACCTAATTATGATGTAAAATAATTGTATTTTTAAGAGTGCTAAACTTACGCTGGGTATACTGGCACTTGAATAATTTCTGATACTTTTTCTGGTGAAATGATTTTGTTTCCTGATAAAACTGGCTTCTTTAGCTGTTTGTTTAATGTTTAGAATGTCTCTAAATTATAAAACTTAAAGCCTTTTTCATCTTTGAATCTGAAAGTGATGGTATGAATTTGCTTTCCACTTTTCATCACAGTACTTGTCTTGTAAAAATTGCATTTTGAGTGGTTGGTACCTATTTTTGAAATAGTGCCCTGAAATAAGAAATTCTCATCCATTTTCAGTTCAGGAAAAATGAGAGGACATGTTATGGTGGATGAAAGATTTTTTAAAAGGGATGAGTAAAATTTTGTTTGTGAGATGTTTATAAGTGCTTGCTTTGGGGACCATACACAGAGTGAAATGTGGACTTTTCTTGATGCCCTTTGAAATGACTGTGCTGTTTCCTGCTGCAGAGATTCTGGAGTGATGGTAAAACTGTACCCAAACATGACCCCAGTATTACTTCATATTTCACAGCTGGATCAAAGAAAGGTAAGCCATCCTTTAACAGGTATAAAATGGGCAATTAGATTTATTTTTAACCAGTTGTCATGGCTGTAACACGCTTAGTGTTGTTCCACAGTCCATTTCCAGGTTAAAAGCTGTTAATTAGCAGCACTCTTTTGTTCTAATTCTTTCTGCCCTATACTTAAAGCTGCAAAGAATCAACTGTGTGACTCCTGCAGTCATTTTTACACCAAGTTATTTGGCTCTGCAATACCCTTTTCCATGTAATATTCAGAAGCCTATTGTTCCTAAGGTAGTGCTGAGCCTTTGGGTTGAAGAGCCTCTGAATAAAGGGATTTTTATAACAAACTCTGATAATTTTATTTCTGAAAAACACTGTGTTCCAGATTAAACACCCTAGTGCCCTGGGATTAGAAGTTGGACATGAAATCCAGGTAATTCTTTTTTTAACATTAAAATGCTAACAAAATGCTGTTTGTATTTTAAAACTTTATTTTTTTTCTAATTATTTATTTTGTGTTTATGAAGAAAATATTTTTCCATATTGGATTCCCTTTCTGTGCTAGTTAAAGGCCTGATCATTCAAATTAGATTTATTTAATGTCATCCTCCTGCTATCTAGGCACCACAGTATTTGACAGCAATATAGGCTGAAGGGTGCCTATTTATTGCTTTTCTAGCATCAAATTGAAAAAAACTCAAACACAACCCCCCATCTTTTAAGGAAAATGCTATTTCCAGCTTGTGAAGTTGCTTGGTGTGAAAGCACTTTGTTTCCTTACCAGGTTAAATACTTTGGCCGTGATCCCACTGATGGCAGAATGAGGCTTTCACGTAAAATTCTGCAGTCCCCGGCCACCAGCACCCTGAAAACCCTGACAGAAAAAAACAGCATTGTCCTGGGAGGGGCTGTTTCACAGACATCCACCTCATCCCAGTGACAGGTAAGGCCAGCAGAACAGCTTCAGCTGACTCAGGGCTGCACTTGACAGCTCTGCTAAAGAGTTGTGCCAATCTGGGTTTTACTGAGCAGTTACCCCTCAGTGCTGTGCAGGGACTACTTGGCAGCTGTGTTGGAGTTTGTTGGGACTTAACAACCAGCCCGTCACTAGTTGTAGAAAGTTTGATATTATAAAATTGGTTCAAATGCCTTGACGGTCTCTGGCAATCTGGACAGGCTTCTCTGTCCTAAACAAACTTACTTATTCAATTCCAACATCCTTTTTCTCTACCTTTTAAAGAAAAAAGCTCAAAGAGGGCATTGGAAGAGAAGAAAAATAAGTTGCTTTCTTGATTAAGTCAACAGTAGAGAAGATTTCAGTTGATTAATGAAATGGCCAAAGCTCTTCCTTAGAAGTAGTTTTCCAGCATGTATTTGACTGTTAGAGGGCTCATGCCTCAGCTTTTCCCAAAATTTGTGTGGGTTTTCTTGTTCTTGGAAAGCTGCTAGAACAGGAAGGTGTCCAATGTTAAAATCAGGAGCAGTTAGACAGCAAGCTTGGCAAATGCACAGTGCACCAGTGGGAACTCAAGGCAATCTGTGGCAAGTTTCTAGGAATTATTGACAGCACAAAAAGAAGGGAAAATTCACTGAATCTCAGTTTTAAGGAACATCTTTGAATCTCATATCTTGATATAATGAATTGGTTACAAAATGTTTTCTTTCTTTCAGGAAAAAAGGTGTGATAGTTGGTGAAAATACAAGTGACCTTTGCTAGAATTTCTACATGTCCTCACAAGAATCTGAAGGTGGATGGTAGTGAATCATATTTATAAAATAGACACTATTTATGCTTAAAGGTGATGTAGAACTTCAAGGCCTTCAAGTTGATTAAAAACTTGAAAATAAAACCAGGAGAAAGCAGTGCCCTCATCTTGTGTAGCAAGGTTGAGATGAGAATACAAGAACATGGAATTCTGTAGACTGAGAAGATATTTCAGTGCTAAAGGTTATTCTCCTTTGAGTTATCGACTCAAAATAAAACTGTGAATATGAGAAGTAAGAACTGAACAACTCTTCTGGGGGAGAAAGAATTATCCTGTATGCTTGGTCAAGAGTCACACTTGGCCAAAGTTTTATTGGCTTTTCAGTGCACAAGAATGTTGAGCAAGTCATAAAGACTTAGAAGTGTCACCTTTAACATGATGGACTCTGTTTTAGATTAATACATCACTCTTAAAATGTTCAGACCTGCAGCAGAATATATCTCAGCATATCTGAGCAGAACTTGGCTGAAACATCACCCCTTATCACCTGGGTTCATTAGCACTGACTTTTAAAATGCATAATTAAAACATTAAAATTAAAATACTTTTTTTGGAATGAACAATTGATGTGATAAATCTTTCCCTGAAACACTCATTAAGAATCTCTTAGTCCTATTAATTACATTGCATCAGTGAGTTCACTGGTTTCTTTTAGACTTCAAAACATTTCCCAGGGGCTCGTGAGAGTGACTCGTTTTTCTACTGTGAGGTACATACTTTAAAAATCAAACAGGGTCCTTCTGCTGTTCACCAGTTTGTATGCAGGACTAATAAGAAAATCAACTTCCCACCTGGTGGCAGGTAGGCTCTGAACCACCTGGAAGAAAAAATAAAGCATGGGGGAGAGGAGAAGTGGGAATGTACAGTAAAAATTACTCCTTTTTTTAATTCTAACTTAAAGTATTAAAGAAGAAAGAAATTACTGGCATGCTGCTCTGTAGTTGTTTCTGTCTTTCATGATGTAAGATTGAAAAATAGAAAAAGTTTGGAAAGATTGACGAAAGATTTCTTTGGCAATCTTTTCCTCCTCTTTGAAGGCTGTGTCTTATTATTTCTTAGTAAGAATTCAGATGTCACTTCTTACTGTGGCAGTTGACTGATACATGATTGTTACATATGAATAGTGTTAATAAAATTATGTAGGTCAGTGTTAAAGTCCCTGAACAGAAACTCAGATGTTGCCATTTCTGGTGACTCTTCCCAGAAATGGACCTCCCCAGTCTAAGTGGATTTCCAAGGTTTATCTCCCCTTATTGTACACTAATTTCTGAGAGTCTGTGTTGTGGAGCTGGTCTCAGTAAAGCAGCTACTGCAGTGCTGGGGCATTGTCTGTTTGGTGGATGATAATAAAGGAGCAAAATTACTTTAATGTTGCTGTGGCAGAACCTGTACAGTCAGCCTGACTTTCTGCATCTGGAACCAGCTTCCCTGTGGGAAGGGGCGGGGGAAGAGCACACTTGGGAGCTGGCTGGGAGGAGCAGAAAGCAGCTGCTCTTACCTGAGGAGAGAAGCTCAATGGCAGCCAAGAGTTGAGTAGGCGTGTGCTGCTCTGACCCTTCCTGGAGGGAAGGACATCCCAGGCTCTCCAAGAGCCGGTGCAGGGCTGTGGCAGGAGGAGCTTGACTCTCAGGTGGGATCAGCTATGATCAGAAACCAGGTGAGTCCAGAGTGCTCAAGAGAACAAGCTTAGTGATTTATTTCTTCTTCCTTACTGCTCAACATAATTAGCTTCTGTAATGACCTGTCTTAAATGGAGCCATTAAGAGAAATTGCCTTGGAGAGAAGCTGGGCAGGAGCAGCATTGCAGCAGCTCAGGAGGGCCAGAAATGCCTTTATTTGACAAGTCTGAAGTTTTCATGAAAGTGCAGGGTCAGGAGCTGGGATATCTTCAAATGTCAACAATAAATATTACAAGTGCTATCATAAAAGTGTAAGAGCTGGCCTAATCGTACTTAGATCACCTGCCTGAGGGTGATACAGTCTCTTAATTTCACTCTAAGAAATTTTAAATTATTTAGGAATGAGTTGCCCATCTTGCTTGGGAAAACAAAAAAAGGCGCTCTGCAGCTCATGTAGTGACACTTGTGAGTTGCTCTGTCTTCTGTCTACCCTAATGAAATCCTTTGCTTTGATGAAGAACAGAGAATTCTCAGCATTGATAACTTGATGGTGGTAATGGGGAATGATGAGCTACTGGCAGGTACAACACCACTGTGGAAAATGTTGCTTTGCTTTCTGTGTGTCTTAAAGAGCACAGGCTTGGATGCTTTCCTGGTCTTAGCCTGGGTTTAAATCCAGTATGTAACATTTGTTGGGGCAAGTATTGCGTGTTTTGTCCAGGAAAGGCCCCCAGAATTGACTTGCTGGTTCTGGGTACCGATGGCAGGGTCATCCTGGGCTTTACAACCCCCTGGATGCTTTTTTGGGTAGAGAGAAGCCCCACATCTGAGTGAGCACAATCCCAATGACTTCTGGAGTGATATTTTCCACAGAGGTCATTGAGTTCATGCCTGGAGAGATCATAGATTTCACAGCTGAAGCATATGAAATAGGTTTTCATGCTAATTCTAATACACATATCTCCTTTCCGTAATTCACCATAAGAATTTGCTCCAAAATACTATGCTGTGGTTTCTTGCTGTTTTATATATCCCGAGAAGTGCTGCATTTAATCATGAGTAGGAGTCGTGCTTTTATTTTTGCGCATTTGGTTTGAAGAGCCAAAAAGCACGCACAGAAGTCATGCAGAGGGGAGAGAGTTCATGAGCAGCAGATGTCCTGAGGCAGAAATATGTTGTGGTCATTGGGGTTTGTGTTCCTTTTTGTGTGTTTGCTTTTTATTGAGCTTTCTCCAACGTAGAAATATGCTCAGTTTGTAATACCTTGTGAGGAAGGCTTGTTTGGAACCTGACTGTAAACTGGTTCATGTGACTCTCAGTCCAGGGTTTTGAAACCACTTAACATGGTCTTTTTATAGTTACTGACTCACTTATCCATAATGATGCACATGTCCCAAGGTGTGCTCCTATACAGCTAAACATAAGTGTATATTAAAATTCTCAGAGGTGTATCTTGTATTTTCTTGGTGACTGCTACAATGAACATCAGAGCAAAAGCTGAGACTTGAATGTTACTTAGATGTTTTCTAAATCTGCCCAGAGAATGTTTGGAAAAATTGCAGATAGTTACTTTGAGGACATAGTTTGGGAAACACTTTCTTTCCCTTGCTTTGGAGCCACATTTGAATTTGAGAGCAGAGAAATGCCAGTCGTGTGAATAAGAGCCATACCGGTGTAACTGCTTTCACCGTGAGGCAAGAGCCAGGAAAGTCGACTTTGTCTGGGAATGAGGCACACCCTGGCCTCAGGAGAACTTGTCCTCCCTCCTTCCTCTTCAGAGCGTCAAAAATTTGGTTTGGAGACACACTCAAGCTTCCCCTTGTCCCGTTTCTCACTGTTTCACACAGCTTTACTTCTTGAAAACTTTTGGGTCGTTTTTCCCTATTCCCACGCAAGCACGGAGATGTAATTATTTATTTGTTGTACAGAGGAAACGTGTAGATGGTTTTTAGTGTGAAAAACTTAACATGTACAGACTCCACGATGCTTGGCAAGTGGTCTGTCTTAAATTGTATGCTGTGTATAAGAGCTAATTAAGCACGTTTCTCTCATTTTTGAAGATTCAGCTGCAGTTTAGCTTTCAAGCCTTCTGTGGAAATGTACAATGCAGGCACAGACGGCATGTTACAGTATGGCTGCTTCTGTAAGGAGATGCTGCTCACTAACCTTTTTGCCGTTTTGTGATGCAGGGGACACCTTTTCTTCCTAAAAATTGAAACTGTTTCAGTTCCGTGTGCTGTTTAAATTTACCCTGGCCGGGTGTGGAGCGCGCCCGTCATTTTGTGTGACGGCCGTGGGTGGCACTTTCTGGGGCGTGAGGGAGGGAGGCGTGTGTTTCGTCAGCGGTGGCGCCAGCCTTTAGACAGACTTAAAAAAAAAAAAAAAAAAAGAATACGAAGAATTTTTTTTAATTATGTTTTTTCGGGGGAACATGTGAGCCATTTCCCCCTTCAGACGCCTCGGGCGTTAAAAGGCAGTGATGCGCCCACATCCCCTGCGGCTGCGGGCAGCCGCCATTTTATTCCCACCTCCCGTTCCCGCCTCGGCGCCGTGAAGGAGCGCGCGCGGCCCCGCCCCGAGGCCCCGCCCCCGTGGCCGCCGTCCCGTCGGCGGCGCGGCGGCAGCGCGCGGCCGCCGTAGCCCCTGCGAGGAGAGCCCGTGCCCGGGCGGGGAGGAAGAGAAAGGCGGCCCGAGCCGGGTTCCAAGATGGCGGCGGCGCTGTAGGAGCTGCTGAGGCGGAGCGGCGCCAGCGAGGCCCGGGCCGGGGCGCGGCGGCGCTGACTCGCCATGGGAAGCGGCGCGTTAAAGGCCCCGCGGTGCCTCTGAGCGGCCCGGCGGCCCCGCTTGCTCCCCGCCGCCCTCGCTCCATCGCCCCTGCGGAGGCGGAGCGGGCCCGGGGCTGCACCATGTCGGACACCCGCCGGCGGGTGAAGGTCTACACGCTCAACGAGGATCGGCAATGGGACGACAGGGGCACCGGGCACGTCTCCTCCAGCTACGTGGAGCGGCTGAAGGGGATGTCGCTGCTGGTGCGCGCCGAGTCAGACGGTGAGAGCGTGGCCGGGGCTGCCCAGGCCGCTTCCCCTCGCCCCACGCCTGGCTCCGGGCCCCACCGGCCGGGGCTGCCGCCCACCATCGCCGGGCTCGGCTGATAGTGCCTTCCCTTGGATCACCCACGAGGATTATTGTTGTTGTTATTATTATTTCCACTCTCCGTGCCTTCCCGTATCTTGCGGCTCGTGTGAAGTTTCCTTACCACACAAGCCACAGCAGCGTTTGCTACTGTGGTCCTAGACTTTTCCCCTCCCAATTTGTAGAATTATTAGCTGGAAGGGACCCATCAGGATCATCAAAGTCCAGCTCCTGGCCCTGCACAGACCTCCCAACAATCCCACTCTGTGCCTAAGAGCGTTGTTCAGGCGCTTCTGCAGCTCTGTCAGCCTCGGGACCATTTCCTGGGGAGCCTGGGCAGTGCCTGACCACCCTCTGGGGGAAGAACCTTTCCTTGATATCCATCCTAAACCTCCCCTGACTCAGCTCCGTGCAGCTCCCCAGCCTGAACAGAGATGAAGCTGTGACATCTGAGGACATTTTGTTCTCTTTCAGAGCAATATCCTTTGCTTTTGAGGTGCTCTATTCTTCCCTTTCTTACTGCTGTGAAGAAGTTGTTTTGCTGCTCTTTTTCTCCTCAGGAATTCCCTGGTTGTATTCTAGTCGGGTGGCATCCCTTGTGTCTTATTGCACTTTAAAGTCACCTTAAAGGGTCTTTTTTTAGAGGGGGGAGGTACATGCTCCCCACTTTGTCAGCAGACAGGTGCTAATGTGCTAAATAAACCACCTAAGATTGGTATAAATTGCTCTGGAGCTGTTGCATACACTACTTGCATACACAAGATGAAGTCTCTGCGTTTGTAGTAGCCGGATGATTTACTTCTGAAGGGCAGCTGAAGAGAGTAAAAGCAAGTGGCCCATGTGGCTTCTCTGGACAAAAACATTTTTTATGCTGGGCAGCACATTACCTGCTGGAATTTGTATAGTTGGCCTAAAAGACCACTAAAAAAGCTGGTTCTTGCACCAGATTTCAGGAGGAAAGAAGTGTTACAGTGGATTTTGGACTAAACTAGAAGAGAAAAATGTATTTTAATAGGGATATTCCTGTTGAATTTTGTCTTATCTGGTTTATTTTAGGAAATTATATTTAAAGGAGGTGGTTCTTGTGGATTTTCTGTGAGATCTGGATTAAGCTGAGAGTCTGTTGGCTGGCACGTGGGCATTGGTGCGAGATGTGTGGAGATGTTTGTTTTGTTGGATTCAGTAAATCTCTCTTCATACCTTTTTCAGGTTCACTACTGTTAGAATCGAAGATAAATCCAAATACTGCATATCAAAAACAGCAGGCAAGTATTGCTAGGCTTTA